GAGTAGCTGACAGTCCACTGCTCTGACCATCTCTGTGCTCACTGTTTTTGTTTAGGTTTTTACACTAATTGGTGCATTATCCACTTCTGAATACTTCCTTTCAAAGCTCAGGGCTCCAGGATTATCTTCTGTATCCCTGTCAATTGGTTTCATTTTTCTTTGTTGAAGAGGGTCTGTGTAGCTTGTCTACCTATTCCTCCATCTAACTGGAAGTCCCCTCATTAAGAGAAATTTTTAGAAGTAGAATTGTTGGCTCATACATACATTATATTGCTTAAGTGTCCTCCTGAAAAGTTAACTCTATCCATTTATGTTCCTAACAATAGTGTGTAAAAAGTTCTTTTCCTGGAGGGTATTAGTAATTTTCTTAGTCTTCTCTCTACCAACTGGAAATGAGAGAGGAGGAGATGGAGGATGAGGCAGAAAATGCAGGTCACTTGTAGAAAGAGTAATTAGTGTCCCCTGACTAGTTGGAATTTCTGTGAGCAATGAAAAAGATCAGAGTGGCAGTATTTACATTAATGACGATAGAGGTAAAGCTTCTATTCAGTAGATAACTGGAGATTCTAGTGCTCACTTACTTTGGACATGTCACCAGGAAAGACCAGGAGCTAGAAAAGGTCATTCTGTTTGGTAAAGTCAACCAAAACCAGAGAAACCCTCAATGAGGTAGACTGATACAATAGCCACAACAATGGATTCAAAGATACACAATCATGAAGATGGCAAAAGATCAGCCAATGCTTCATTCTGTTACCCATAAGGTTGCTGAGTAAGGGCTGACTCCATGGCAACTAACAAAAACTAGTCCTACAAGGCTTAAAAACATGTTAACAAGATTACTTGAGCTCCTTTTTTGAATATTTATAGCCTAATGATCTGATAAAGCTTTAGCTTAGACATATAGCACCTTATTTTCTTCTACTCCTCATCTTCTAACAATAGAAATCCTATGATGAACTTGTGGAGTTACGTCCATCCTTGAAAGTCTTGCATATGTATACTCCAATGGTTTATGGATCTAGAAATTGCAAATGTCCTAGCATAGTCTTTTTCTTTTTAAAGGAAAATTCAGTCTATGAATGTAATATATTTTGCATTCTACATATACCAATTTCTCTATTAATAAAGATAGACAAAGTTGGAGAACTCAAAAGTTGTATTACATGCACTAAGAAATGACTATCAACAACGGAAAGTAACACAAAAAGAATTATTTGTTTTTTGGCATACATCACAACTTCTAAGAAGAATATACTCAGAAGAATAAGAAAAAAATCAAGAATATTTAAAAAATAATTATAACAGTGAAAAATTAAAATCTAAACCTTGATACAAAGAACACAAACACTAAGATAATTTAAAATGTTTTAGAACTGAAAGAAATTTATGAGAATCCTGCTTACCATCTGAAAGGTTTAAACAGAGCCAATCCAAGGCAGAATGAAGATCACCTCCATGTAAGAGGGTATTAGTCATGGCATCTTCAATGTCCTTTGTCTTAAATGAAAATGCTTGTAAAGCCATGTATAAGTCCTATAAAAAGGAAACGTAGAAAAGTCAAAACATCTGTCAATTTTCTCTTCTCTCATTATTGACTTTATTGCCCCATTCAATGCATTTATTTTCTAAAATAATATCTTACCATGTTTTCAGTGAAAATTTATATAGCAAAATGGGGTCCTATCTAAAAATTACTATACAAATTGTCCAGTGGCATTGCCAATTTTTCACCATGTGTCAACATTCTCTGTGATTCCATTCTGGATGCTTTGTTTCCAGTAATCTATTTTCCCTAGAGGTCCCTTGACCCTTTCACC